CCCTCAGGATCCCCGCAAGGCCTCTGGGTAGGCCCTCATCCAGCAGTGGATTGACACCAACGGGCCGCGCACACGTGCGCGTTTGTCTGGACCATTAGGAAAACTCCGTCGCTGACTCATGATGTTTCCCCGTCCCTCTACATCTGCGCTGTGCTCTTGACGCTGCTTACTTGAGCATGTGGGCCATGGGGTTTGGTCGGTACCACCTCAGGGTGGCAAATGTCAAGTGTCTGTCCAGCGTGGGTAGAAAGCTTCATTCTCACGTTCCACCAATGTTTCACATTTGTGTTAATGTCATCCAATCTTCTATAGAGTACTACACCTTCATTTAACAAGCCTGTCCTAAAGCGCGACCACGCCGACCTTGCTATCATACACCGTCGTGATCTCGAGATAAACGGCGTTAGGGAAATCAGCGTTAGCACTTGCCACCTTGGATGGTACCGATACGCCATTCGTGGAACAAGAACCAATGAAGGGGAATAATAAAAGTGTCTGGGTTAGATCGCGCAAATATAAATGTTGTCGTTAACTCACCGCCACAATTACATTTACGCAATATATAAAACCCTAAAAACCCTTAACTATGAATATTGGTCGCGAAAGCCTTCGTGTTAAAATGATCGTGGCCAATGCCCCCCCCCCCCCCCACACAACTCTCAAGGCTTTTTTGGTGGCCCAGTCCCAATCTCGACGGCCAGGCCCGGAGCGTTGGGCAAGCCAAGGGAGGATACGGGGAGGATGGTGCGGGATGGACGGTGGTGGGAGCGAGAGAGCACGGAGGATACGGGGAGGATGGTGCGAGACGGACGGTGGTGGGAGCGGGAGAGCACGGAGGATACGGGGAACGAAACGAAGCAGAAAATGAATTAATTGTGGAATCGACTAGGCACCCCCACCCCCCTCTCACGAGGGTTGAGGATTTGCATTCGTGACGAATGTACTCGCCTCGGCAGCCCAAGGGTGGACCCCCCCTCGCCCGCCCAACCCCCGCTGACGTATCCGTCCCTGTGTGGCGGTAGGGGGAGTCTGTCCGTAGTGGGGGGCTGGTTGGAGGTGGTGGGGGCAGACCCTGGTTGGAGGTGGTGGGGGGGGGCAGACCCTGGTAGTGTAGCAGTTAGCGCGCTGCGCTATGAACCCGGCGACCCGGGTTCGATTCCCGCTCACGGCCAACACCCAGTGACGATTATCTGAACCGGTCCTGGGCCTCCCCCCTAGGTCGACTCGGCCTCAAATGAGTACCTGGTGCAGTGTGTAAACATCGCCACTGGGGAGACAAAGGCGGTCGGGCGTGGTGCTGGCCACCTAGCCCCTCGTGTGCCGTTCCGGCCTTCATAGGTGCTCACTAACAGCACTTGTCCTTACAGTCTGTTAAGGCTATACGGGGGATCTTTGGGGGGGGGGGGGTACCATAACATTGCCTGTACCGGTAAAGTCACGTAGGTAGGTATACCTACGTGACTTTACCGAAAGAACCAAAGAGTATGGATTCCTGCAGCCACGAAAACTTCAAATCAAGATTGCCTGTCTGTACCGACAAGCAGTGAGCGAGGCTGGGTGGGCAAAAAGCTGTTGCAAGTAGGCCTCGGAACGGTAGGGTAATTGTACCTTTTTTACCGGGTCAAAGGGTAAAGGTAAAGGTGTCGACATGCCAAGGGGTAAGGGTAAAGGGTAGGGTAAAAGGTAGGCTCGTTGTTTTTACACTTTTACCTTGCCTTGCCGAGGCCTAGTTGCAAGGGGCCTGCCACCCAGCACCCCATGAGCGCTTCCACCCTCCCTCGGCACCCCGCGAGCGTCACCACCCATCCCCAGCAAGCGACAAAGTCGCCCATGATCGCATCCCAGAGTCAGTAGCGCCGCACAGGGCAGGGCAAAACTTCCTCCTCGCCACCGAGGGGGAGAGAGAGAGGGGGGGGGCGAGGAGAGGCGAGGGGGGGTGGGGGATAGAGACGACTTCTGAAAATAACCACGGCGAGTAACCCACCCACCCACGCACGCACGCGCACGCACGCGCGCTCGCCTTAGAGTGTAATCCGATTAAACTCGAAGGGAAGAACACCCACAAGGCGCACGCGTCGACGCAGATCCCGCCGTGACGAAAGGACTGCTACGATTAGGGACGAAGCCACCCCCCCCCCACACACTCCCTCAAGTGCCCGATTAGTGCGGCTGTGATGCTTGATGCTTGCACCTCCGATTGGCGAGGCATGGTGCGAAATAAGTTCAACGTGCATACGCAGGTACACGCGGCAGAGGGACAGACATCGTGCTGCAGGCCACGGCGAGGCTGCTGGCGGTTGCGCTCCTGCCGCGCCGGTCGCTCCGCGTCCGGAGATTTCTCTCTCAGGGGGGGGCACTCCGGGGGTCTCCCTCCGGATAAACGGCGGCATCGGACCATCGTGGAGAGAATGCCGCGAGCAGTCTGCTGCTGCTGCTGGTCAAGGAACGGAGTTGAGACTGAATCGAAACGGCTCTCAAGAGACTGCAGGGTCGAATTCCCGAGGAGATTTCAGTAGCCAGAACGAGTAAAATGGTTTTTAAAAAAATGTTAATATTTTTTTTACTAGGTGTGAGGCTTACCGAGCTATGTAGCTCCTTTCCAAAAGCGACCTGGCCATAAAATGAGAGCTCAACGAAGTGGCTCAACGTCATCGAACGGAAAATGCACAGCGGCCAAATACTCTGACCGCGTGACGTTGAGTTTAAATGCGGAGGGATAAACCGGAGGACCCGGAGAAAATTCCACGCGACCACGGGGAGAGAGCGAACATGTAAACTCGCAATATATACAGCAGCAGGCGTCAGGGTCGGGATCGAACCCACGACCTCCTGTATACCAGGCGAGGGAGTTAACATCTCTGAACCACTGCGGGGCCCCAACGCGGGTTTCCCGAACAAACCCGCCAGTACCGTGGGGCAAGCGAAAGGTCGCACATCGCGCACCGAGCAACGCACGTGTGGCACAACGTGGGCACGCGTGGTGGAGCATGTGCAGTGAAAGTCACCACGGACCACGTTCCGGCACCACGGGCGAAAGGGCAAAGTGTCACTCAATGAGGACAATCAACGAGCGTTGGAGCGACGCTTTGCGAAAGCAGAATCAGCCTCGAGATACAAACAAACCTTTCAACAGTCCCCCCCGCCACCACCCCCCGCAAGGCCTCCAACACCGCGATTTCAAACGCCGTCCCACACTTGCCCTCCCGATCACGGCAGGACATCCCAAGATTCTGGCCTCGAAGGCAGCGTCGGTGGCAGCAAGTCCATTTGCATCCAGCTCTTCAAACGGCATCGGCAATTCCAAGACCCGGTTACCTGCGGGCGTTCCATCGCGCCCGGCTGCGCCCAAATAAATAGCCCGCTCTTGTTTCCCGATCGAAATGACACCGGAGCAAAATAAACAACTCAAAAGCCGAGCAGATCTGCAAATCACTGGATATTTTGCGAGGAGTTCTCTCCAGATTAAAACAGCAAAACTTGCAAACCCGTCGATGGTTCACGGGGGTCTTGGAGGGGTCTTGCGGGGGTCTTGGGGGAGTCTTGGGGGGGTCTTGCGGGGGTCTTGCGGGGGTCTTGCGGGGGTTTCACCGAGCATCCCCGGCTCCCCACCGGGGGTTCTCTTCAAGGTGGCCTCGTGCCCTCAAAGAGGTGCTCACGCTGGGGTTAGAGCGGTGGTTCTTAAAGTGTCTTAGAGCAGTGTTAGCAGTGTTAGAGCAGTGGTGCTCAAAGTCCCTGGACCACCAGTAGACCACCAGTGGACCACCAGTGGACTACCAGTGGACCACCAGTAGACCACCAGTAGACCACCAGTGGACCACCAGTAGAGACCACCAGTAGACCACCAGTGGACCACCAGTACACCACCAGTGGACCACCAGTGGAACACCAGTACACCACCAGTGGACCACCAGTGGACCACCAGTGAATCACCAGTAGACCATCAGTGAATCACCAGTGGACCACCAGTAGACCACCAGTAGACCACCAGTAGACCACCAGTAGACCACCAGTAGACCACCAGTGGACCACCAGTGGACCACCAGTGGACCACCAGTACACCACCAGTGGACCACCAGTGGACCACCAGTGAATCACCAGTGGACCACCAGTAGACCACCAGTAGACCACCAGTAGAGACCACCAGTAGAGACCACCAGTAGACCACCAGTGGACCACCAGTGGACCACCAGCGGACCACCGGTGGTCCGTTGGGCTGCGATGCCAACGCAGCTTGATCCAGAAAAGTCATGACGTTTAACAAAATAATAGTTTTTTTATCCTTTTAACTGTCAACAAAACTGACACCTTTTTTACAAGGAGTCATGTTTGCATTGACCACAATACCTGCAGTCGGAATGCATACATTATCAGAGTTGTGTTTTTTGTTTGCATTCCGACTGCAGGTATTGTGGCCAATGCAAACATGACTCCTTGTAAAAAAAGGTGTCAGTTTTGTTGCCAGATAAAAGGGTAAAAAAAAACTATTATCATATTTTGCTACTGGCAAATGAGGTTCCAATGGTGAACGTTTAACACCTTTTGTTTCGGACGTTAATTAATGCATTACTCGTGATATTTAATTTAAAAATGAAGTTGGGTAAACTACACCGATTAAACTTACCCTAACCTGAAGCTCTAAATGCCATCCCCTCCCCCTCGCCTTATTGATGCGTAAAAAAATAAAATGTTCCGGTAATACGAATCACGTTGTGCGAGTGGTATTTACAGAGAGAAGTGAATGCGTGTTGTCACCAGGAGTAGGGTGCCGGCTTGGGCGGTCCGGCAGAAATGTTTGCATCGGCCGAGTGCATCCGTGGGCCAAAACAGTTTGCGAAACGCCAGGGGCAAGTGATGTCTTCCTTCCGATATTGGGAAGCCACTGGGGAGCCGTGCACTTTTAAATCATCATCTAGATTGTCAAACTAATTTCTTCAGAACTGTTGTTGTGTTTAGGTGGTTGTCTTCCCCCCCACCCCACCACGCCTCCGATTCAACACACGCAGAGAGACGCCCACGTGACCTCGATCCGGCTCGCTGTGGGACCCCGGCCGGCGGTGGCGCAGCAGGGAACGGGGGCGGCCGTCTCAGCGAAGCCGCATCCGGTGCTACCACCGACACGCCCAATGCGTGCCACACTGCTTCAAGAGGGTAAAACCCTCTCCCCCCCCCTGCACTGCCACCCGATATACGCAAGAGAGACACGCGAGAGAGACGCGCTCGCGGTTTAATCGGGGCTCAGCTGCGCACTCAAAAGCTGGGGGGGGGGGTGGGGGGGCATCGTCTCCTTTTGGATTGGCTGGGCCCTTTGAACACCGGTACCGCGTTCGGCACCAACGTGGCCGGTGGAAGCGGTCTCACAGCCACGGATCTCGGCGAGATTTCCACAAAGATCCCGGACACGCGGCACGCGCCGTGCGCCCAAGTCGACGCCGCGACAAACGACCGTCGGCCGCCGTCAACCGTCGACGCCGCGAGCTGCCGATCGCCAAGCACAGATTCCCGATTTCGAGTTGAGGTTTTATATTACTATTAATTTTATTGTTCAAGTTGCGAGACGAGTTCGGACTACGGATGCGACAGTGTGCGACTTCGTGGCCGCGTGAGAGGCTGCCAATCGGAGGCGAGAAGCGTGACCGAGCAACCAATCGGGAGCTCGGGGTGGGAAGCAGCTCAGTGACGTTTGCAACCTGGCCCGGTCAGACCAGCTGATGTGAGAACAACTGACCAATCGGAGCCAAGGGTGGTACGCAATCGATATTAAATACGACATTCAACCAATTAGATATCAGGACGAGAAAGCAACTCGATCGCGCCGTCAATTTCCGAGAGCCCAAAACCCAGCCAATGAGGGTTCAAGGGGCCAAACATTCAACCAGAGGCGCAACACAAGAACCAACCAATACAAATTGACAGTGCTCAGAACCAACCAATCAGGAATAAGGTGTCAGAACCGACCAATCAGAGATTAATATGTGAAAACAAAATCAACTTAAGGCATGACAATCAACCAATCAGGATTCAAGACAGAAACTCCAACCAATCAGAACCCGGGAATGTGACACGCTTCTGGAGAAATGCTTGAGAGAGTGCGTCGTAGTGTGACAGTATCAGTTATTTGTTTAACTCGGTGACATTCACTGTGATCATCATCATCATCAGCTGCTGCTGCTGCTGTGTTCGAGAGAGGTATTACGAACAGCACCACGGCACCACAAGGCAATTCACTACGACAAACGCCTCATCGAAGTCCGTACACGAGCGTTAACATTATCCCGGGGTAGTAACGCAAAGTGCGGCAATTACAAACTCCCACCGCGGCAATTACAAACTCCCACCACATGCAGCTAAGCAGCAACAGCTGGCCCCCGCCTTCGACGGGGCGAGCAAAAAAACTAACATCACCAACCCTCCCCACCTCCACCCGTCCCCCCCCCCCCCCCCCCCCCGTTACCAGGAACAAATGGAACAGCTCTAACCTACACACACTGGGGACGAAGGCCGGGTGGGAGCTGTACCACTCGTGTGAAAGGGCCGATCAAGCGGGCAGCACGCACAGCATTTCCGTGGGCTGTGTGCGAGTGTTGCGGCAGCCTGGCCCAGACCAACGCGGCGGGTGCAGGTGGGCTAGAGCAGGCGACCACGCTGGATGACGATGCAGCAGACGCTACCGGGTGACCCTCGCGGGACAGACGGACTGCGGCAATATGTCCACTTGTGCTTAATTTAAACTGAGTTAGCCTGGTGCGGGCCAGAGCGGTGCAGAGCAGGCCGAGCCAGGTCCGGCTCAGGAAGGCCCCGATGCTCGGGCGTGTGAGCTAGGGCGAGCGGGCTGGAACTAAACTGCGTTGGCCTGGTCCGGGCTAGACTGTAACAGAGTAGGCCGAACCGGGCTAACAAAGGTCCGGGTTAGACTAGGCTAAGAGGAGGCCCGAGCGTGTGGGCCGGGGGTTGCGGGAGGGAGTCTACTGGGTGGCCGTGAGCGCTAGGCTAGGATCGCTTGGCCTGCAGCGTGGCGGTGGCGTAGGTGGGGCGGGCCTGCTTGTTCTCGACGGCGCGCCGCAGGTACTCCACGCCGCCCCACTGCTCCCACACGTCGTCGAAGCCGCGCGGGAGGATCTCGGCGCCCTGCTTGCGCGTCAGCCCCGTCTCCTCGAGGCTCAGCTCGCACATCTCCATGTCGTCCTTGCCTGCGCGCGCCGGACGGACACGCACACGGCAACGGTTGTGGCGGGGGGAGGGGCGGTGAGGGAGGGGAGGGAGGGGAGGGAGGGAGGGAGGAGAGGGAGGGAGGGAGGGAGCCGTGCACTGTCGTAGTTGGGGACGACACTGCACAGTGGTTATTCCCCGCTTTAGTAATTTTCGTGTAATTTTCAAATTTAGCTGAATTTGGAGCGCGATGCCGGCAGACACCGGGCTGCGAGCGAGCATTAGCCTGCCCCTAATGGGCGACGTTGCTATGGGGCTTCCCAATTAGGCAATTTGCGGTGTCATTTATCTAATTTGGAACAAGACGCCTATTTTTATTTTTTCCAAATAACGTCACGCGATCCTCACCGTCCACCGTGCCACGAGACCGCACTGGGCGAGATCTCGACACCGCCACGGTCACAGACTGCGAGGGTGGGGGGGGGCAAGTGGAGTTAGCGAGCACCTACTCAGCCCGGCACGGCTCACGGAAGGGGTCAGGGGATGGCCTGAGGTTGCGTTGGCCTGCGGCCTGTGCCAGTTTAACCCAAAATTTACCCCCCAATCCTCCCGCCGCCTAACTCCATGGTCCTCTTCTTCCTCCCCCGCCCCCACCCGGCGGTCTTCACGCAGCGGCGACGCCGTCCCCCTCCTCCCAACACTCACCGGCGACGAGCAGGATGGGCGGCTTGTCGGGGTGAAGCTCCATCTGCCTGGCGATCCACTGGCCGTCGAAGTGCGCGTACCACCAGCCCTTCTTCTTGTTGTTCGGGTCCTTGTACTGGTCGGCCGGGCGGATGAAGAGGATGCGGAAGTAGCGCTGGGGCCGCCCCTGTGCCGCCTGCGGCTGGCGCGGGGGCACCGGCGGCACCGCGCTCATCTGCTCCGCTGCTCCGCACCGGAACCCACGCACGCACGCACGTGAGATTACACACAGATCTACAGATGCATGTGCAAGTCGTCGTCGTCATCATCATTAGGCGTTATCCACAACTCCCCCCAGCACCCTGTCCCCCGACCCCCCGCCCCCAAGCCATCACCGCCGCTCACGGTCTTGCGATGGGCCAAGGGGAGAGGCCCGTGGTTAACCGGTTCGGACATCGCTCGCCACCAATGCCGAGCCACAGCCGGGTCACCGGGGTTGTAACGCAGCGCGCAAACCGCTGCGCCGCCGCTCCCCCCACAGTGTGCGCCGCACAGGCACAGATAAGGACAAAGATCCCCCGTGTAGCCTTTACAGAATGTTGGCGCAAGTGCTGTTAGCGAGCGTCTATGAAAGCCGACAATGCATCCGAGGGGGTGGGTCGCCACCACCACCACGCCCGGCCGCCTTTGTCTCCCCAGTGGCGACGTTTTTACACGTCGCACCAGGCGCTCATTTGAGGCTGAGTGGACCTAGCGGAGGCCCAAGACCGGTTCAGATAATCGTCACTGGTGTTGACCGTGAGCAGAAACTCGGGTTACCAGGTTCGTAGCGCACTACTGCTCCCCACAGACCCACACGCACGCACCCACACACACACCCACACACACAGCGCTCCCGCGCAAACGCGGTCTCTTGTGACCGCGCTGACAGCGCTGGCGTGAAAACCAGACGCTACTCATTTGAGACGGCGTTGACTCGGGGGAAGCTCGAGACCGTAATTGCCACCAGCGATGTGCATTCACGGCCGGCAAATCAACGGCATGGCAAGCGCGGCGCGCGCGCTTTTTGCTGAACACACCATCAACTTCCTCGCTCGTACATACGCGCAAGCACGCACGCCAGTGCTGCCACTGCGCAGGACAAATTCGTTTCTCGGGTCATTAACCTGCGACGATGTCTCCAGGCTAGACAGAGGCTTGGCAGAAGTTGATCTTCTCTGCTGTGAGACCTCACCACGCAAGTCGGGACCCAGGATACTAAACGAAAAAAAAAACTAAAACAAATTTATTTTACCAGTTAAGGCCCACTGAGCTATTAGCTTGTTTTTCAGAACCGAGCTGGCCACAAATGACAGCTCAACGAAGTGGCAATTACAGCAGCCAAATCTAAATAATCAAAACACGCAGAATTTCACATCGCAGCTACCGTGAGAAATTGGCGACGGCTTGGGAGGGAGGCCGTCATCCAGCAATGGATTGATCGTGGCGGATGGGTGAACAGCCGAGGCGATACTCAGTACTGCTGGTGGTCCCAAGCCATCGGTGGAAATTACACATTCCTATGGCAAGGGCCTGTATTACCAAGGGACAACTACTGTTGACTTTCCCACCAAATGGTGGTGGTGGTGATGGTGGTGATGTTGGTGATTATGTGATGTTTATAATAAAGGTCTTTGGGTTATATCGTTTTTTGGGTTACACGGTCCAATCCAAAAACCTCTATGATTAATTAAATTGGTCGCGGAAGCCTACGTGTGACGATGAGCGTGCATGTCGACGGCGTCTGGAACTTCTGCTACGCGCAATGACGACGGCAGAGGTCGCAACCGGGTACCCGATACCCGTACCCTACCCGATACCCGTACCCTACCCGATACCCGGCTACCCGTACCCGGCCAGGTACGGGTAGCCGTTTGCGACCCTGGTGCGGCCCGGTACGGGTACGGGTACGGGTAGGCCGTGAGTCACTGGTGAGTAGCCGTTTGTCACTCATTTCGGGTAGGGTACGGGTACGTGTAGGGAACGGGTACCCCATTTGCGACCCTGGTGCGGCCGGGTACGGGTAGGGAATCAAAACCTGTTTGCGACCTCTGGACGACGACGATGATTACACGACAGGTGACCGGGGGGCAGAGTCAGTTTGACCCCGCCGGGATTTGAACTCTCCCCATCTCTTGAGGCCGTGTACCCTTCCCGCTCCGTGCGAGCAGCCAGGCTCGGCAATGGTGCGCTCGCGATAAAAGGCCAGAAGAGGTCCCGTCTCCCACCGTAGAGATAGCGCTCGGGTGATTAACTTGATTAATTGAATGACGGATTAGATGCTCCCCCCCCCCCCCCCCCCCCCCACGTAACCGCACTTGATCGGGTCATTATGATACAATCAATTATTTGGGTAATTGATCGCGTGAGTCTTGTCCGGCCGGACGTGATGTGTACGTGCATGCGCGGGGAAGCAACGGCGCGTGCCGAGGTGAGCGCGCGCCCCGGCTGTGAAAACCGGCGGCCCGAGTTCGATTCCCGGTCACGGCCGCCAACGCCGGTGACGATTGTCTGGGCCGGTCCCGGGCCTCCTCTTGGTAGACTCGGCCTCAAATGAGTACCCAGTAGAATATGTACACATCAGCACTGGGGAGACGAAGCCAACCCCGGCGTGGTGATGGCAACACATAGACGCTCGCTAAAAGCGCTTGCCAAACAGTCTGTGTGGGCGACACAGAGAATCCCTATCTTTGTTATGAAAAACTGATCCCGCTGCTTGCTGTTTGAGGGAGTCGGTGGCCTACTTGCTGTACTGCGTGCGTGTGTGTGTGTGTGCGTGTGCGTGCATATTCCAGCTCACGAAGACTCCATCTGTCCGCGTTTCCCCGGAAACCACCTCTGAGATTCCCTCCGCATCTCCAGAAGGTCCAGAAGGTGTTTGACTGGATGTCAAAACTTCACATCACACTCTTAGCAAAGTATGTTTTGCTATTCCTCCATGCGACATCGTCACCACTGCTCTGGCTCCATCAGTATGTGATCCACCAATACCCCCCTCCTCCCACCACCCCCCCTCTGTCTCAACCAAAACATCTCTCAAAGACTGCAGAATCGAACCCCCTAGGGAGTTCAGTATCAGGAGGCCAGAACGATTGAAATACAAAATATATGAAATAAACTAAATATATCTTTTAAAATATACACCATCACGTGGAAATTTACATCAGCCAAATAGTCTCAGCGTGTTACACTGATTCTGAATGTTGGAGGGAAACACCAAAGGTCCCAGAGAAAAATCCACGCGACATGCAAACTCCGAATATACAGCAGCAGGCGTCGGGGTCAGGATCGAACCCGCGACCTCCTGCATACCAGGTCAGGGAGTTAACATCTCACCACCACGGCGCCCCAACTCAGGAAAAAGCTCGCCAGCACCGTAGAGCAAAACGTCGGACATTGCGCGCGGAGCAACGCACAGCGACACAACAGGCCTCGGGGGTTGGGATCGAACCCACGACCGCCTGCACACCAGGCGAGGGAGTTAACATCTCACCACCGAGACTGCCTGTGAAGAGCATTGGCAACAATATAATTAGGGCTCTGTACACGCAGATCGGTAGACGTAATCAATTACGTTGGAGCGCGGTTATAATCAATGGTTATTTTCACACTAATTGCCCTACAACCCCCCCCCTGCCCCCACCCCACCCCGCTGCCCCCCCCCACCCCTTCTCCTCTCTCCGGCTTGATTGAGATGAGTGCGAGCACCCCTTCCGCGTCGGAGACGAGAGTTAAATAACGACGGGAGGGGCGAGCGGGTTGGGACGCGCTGCCGGCATCGTCGCGGACGGTCGATGCCTCCCCCCCCCACCCCCCCGTAACATCACCCCCCACGTGTGGAGACTCGGCGGGATATTGATTCGTGCTTACTTGCTGTACTACACTCAATCATCGTAATAATACTATTTTCTCCTAAACAGGTAAGGCCCACTCGGCTACATTGTAGCTCAGCTACATTGTATCTCTTTTCTCAGAAGCGACATTGGCTATTGACAAATGGTGATTCTAAACGTGGAGGGAAAACCCAGAGGATCCAGAGATGAATCCACGCGACCACAGATAGAACCCACGACCTCCTGCATACCAGGCGAGGTAGTTAACATCTCACCACCGTGATGATCATGATAGAGACACTCAAGCTCCAAATATACAGCAGCAGGCGTCAAGGTTGAGATTGAACCCACGGCCTCCTGTATACCAGGCGAAATGCCTGACTAACACCGCATTGGCCAGTGGCGTGGACTTGTGATCTGCGGGTTATTGTGGTGACCAGTGGGAGGGTGGGCGGGAGGGGGGGGGGCACACATAGGGAGCACGAGTCGTGATTGGAGGGGGGTGGGGGTGCCATACAGAAGAGGTTGTGAACCAACAACACGAAAATCTCTCGAAAAAAGATGGTTCTTTCCGGGGTGAGATCGTGTAAAGATGCACGTGTCGTGAAACCCGCCACCACCCGACACAGCCAATTAGTGAGGTTTGTCACGTAAACACAAAAAATATCTGCGACGTGGCGAACGGATCCTTCATCTCGTGACCACGCAAGAAGCACGGTGGGGATAACACTGTGGGGGGGGGAGTGGGTTTGGGAAATAACAACAACAATACCCCACACTCCCAAGCGCACGCGCGCACACACTCACCCCGCTGAGCAAACACGACCTTTGCCCCGACCCCGCACAGCACATGCGTCTAAATCGGGGGGCTATCCGCTCTGCCTTTAATCCCCACTCCCGCCCCCCCACCCCGGGGCCTGTGTGAGCTCGCGGGCGCTCTCCCCTAACGACCGGACACCCACCGACCCACAGGCCGACCTCGAACGCCCCCTTGGGCGAGAGAAGCCGACGCCTTTCCCTCTTCTCCCCGTGCGCGCGCACGCACGCACGGAGACTCTGTGAGAGATGGGGAAGGACGGTGGGGGGGGGGGCAGGTTGGGGGGGGGAGGGGTTTGCCGGCGGTACGGCGGCGCGAACCGTCGCTTTGTCGGTGGCATGGCACAAACGCAGGGCCCATCCACGGGGGAGTTCGATTCCCAGCCCAGGACGCCGTTCTCTCCGTGGGCCAGTTTGTTCTTCTCCATCGCCCACTCGCCCCCGCGCCCCCCTGTCCTCCGTGGGGTTACACCTCTGGGATTTTTCTCGCCGTTGCTTAAAAAAACAGGCGCCGCATGCAATTGATGGTTGGTCACAAATTCCCGCCCCCCTCCCCCCACCGTGTTGGGGAGCTTACCGAAAAAAAAATAGCGGTTGGGATTCAGTTGCTACGCTTAATCCCAATTGAGTAACTTGCGGGTAATTGCCTTGGCATCGGGGATGTTTTGGGCCAATATCTGTTACGCTGCGTGTGCGTGCGTGCGTGCGCGCGTGGGGAGCGGTGGCGTAGCGTTTGGCGCACTGCGCTATGCACACTCGGCGACCCGAGTTCGATTTCCGCTCACGATCAACACCGGTGACGATTAAATCTAAACCGATCCTGGGCCTCCCCTAGGTCGACTCAGGCTCAAATCAGTACCTGGTGTGCAAACATCGCCACTGGTGAGACCAAGGAGGCCGAGCGTGGTGCTGGCCACCCACCCTCTCGTGCGCCGTGCCGACCTTTATAGGCGCTACTCACTAACAGCACTTGCC